GCGATCCAGAAATATAGGCATTTGACAGTCCATTTCAGAGACTTAGCTATAATCTTTAGATCACCCCACTATGGTGTTGTAATATAATCTGACACAATGTTAAAATAACACTTTAGATTTCAACATCATAGTGCTTGAATGTATAATTTTGTTTATTATCTAGAGAGAAATAGAAATCAAAACATTAAATTAAAAAGTATCAGCTTCATGAGCATTTTTTTGTATTGATAACTTATTCATCAATAAACTTGAACTTTATTGCACTAAACAGGATGCTCCATCTTTTTCCTTGGGAAAAAGAATAGGTGCCCTGTCCATATTAAATATTTTTTCCTGTAAAATTATGTTACATATTTTAATACTACAGCCTTTCTGAGAGAATTGTTTGTGTTAAGATTATTTGGGAACCAAATTCAAGATGGAGAATTCAAAATGTTACTCCAAATCATTGGTAAAAACTTTAATATAAGTCAACAAAGTTATTATTCACTTTTTCACTTTCAGACACATTACCATTTCTGCTTGTTATAAAAATTAATCAGATTTTCTATCAAAACACCGCAAATGTATTTGAATCATAAAGTAGAATAGGAATGTCTTAAGGAAGGCCACTGCAGATACCTTTTGCCAGTCCTGTACTTACAGTTTGTTAATTCTAAGGAATATGAAGCATAGTACTTAAATATTTATCAGATCAAATGCTATAAGAGGGACAGGATGAAGGAATATTCCATGACTTTTCTACCCATTCAGAAAAGCTTGAAGTCCCAAGGACGCGGAAGTCAAACAAAGTCAAACCAACATTTTATACAGCTTGAGAATTATATATAAATATGTATACAACATTCCCTTTTGTTAAGGTAAAAACAGTCTTTATATTTATCTCAAAATAAAACTTTTTGATTTTTCTTTCAAAATTAATATCTACCTTTTCACACATAATAGAAGTAATTCTCTTCAGATGGAAAGGGTCCAGGTTCTAATACACAAATCTAGAACTGACTACCAGTAAACACACAATTCTCGATAGATATTCTTTAATTTCTAGAATAAATTGGTAACTATTTCATGGTCGACCACTTCATTAGTAACACATTTCAGAAGATTTGAAGCCACTTCTAACTGGAAAAGGCACTCAATTAATAGAATACTTAGGTTATTTTGTCTGTGGTCTTAATTAGCTTCAATATAAAGATATTCACTGAATTTAACTTTAAAAGACTGAAAAATCTTCTAAAGCAATATAACAGTATAAAGTAGATGGACTGATAGGAGAAACAGACATTATTTCTAAAATTTAAAATTTTATATTGAATTAAGTTTCTTGAGTGCCA